ACTCCATCTTGCGTTATTTAGGAATGTGGTCACATGATCAGTTTTTGACGTAATCTCATAAATAATCATGACGTGCGTCACTTGGTTTTGACGTAATGAAGAAATAGCTGATAGGACTCAAAGTGAATTGATACTTAAATTGTGAGATTTTTTGAGAAATAAATGATTGATTGTATGTTGTTTTAAGTCCCATTCGAGAATTTTTCACTCATATAGAGACGTCACCATAAACCGGTGAAGGGCTTCAAATTTTTAGCTCTACTGGTCAGAGACCAGAAGAGCTTATGCGATAGTAAGGTGTCCGTCGTCCGTCCGTCTGTCTGTCTGTCTGTCTGTCTGTCTGTCCGTCTGTCTGTAAACAATTTTTCAAAACGCTACTCCTCCTACAGTTTTGGTCCGATTTCAATATAACTTGGCACACAAGTAGACTACACTAAGATACATAATTTAGTGCATCGGTTTTTGATTTCGATGGACGGTGTTGCCATAGTTACTAAAAATAGAAATTTCTGTGAAATTCCTTTAAAATGCTACTCCTCCTACAGTTTTGGTCCGATTTCAATATAACTTGGCACACCAGTAGACTACACTAAGATACATAATTTAGTGCATCGGTTTTTGATTTCGATGGACGGTGTTGCCATGGTTACTGAAAATAGAAATTTCTGTGATATTCCTTTAAAACGCTACTCCTCCTACAGTTTTGGTCCGATTTCAATATAACTCGGCACACAAGTAGACTACACTAAGATACATAATTTAGTGCATCGGTTTTTGATTTCGATGGACGGTGTTGCCATGGTTACTAAAAATAGAAATTTCTGTGAAATTCCTTTAAAACGCTACTCCTCCTACAGTTTTGGTCCGATTTCAATATAACTTGGCACACAAGTAGACTACACTAAGATACATAATTTAGTGCATCGGTTTTTGATTTCGATGGACGGTGTTGCCATGGTTACTAAAAATAGAAATTTCTGTGAAATTCCTTTAAAACGCTACTCCTCCTACAGTTTTGGTCCGATTTCAATATAACTCGGCACACAAGTAGACTACACTAAGTTACATAATTTAGTGCATCGGTTTTTGATTTCGATGGACGGTGTTGCCATGGTTACTAAAAATAGAAATTTCTGTGAAATTCCTTTAAAACGCTACTCCTCCTACAGTTTTGGTCCGATTTCAATATAACTTGGCACACAAGAAGACTACACTAAGATACATAATTTAGTGCATCGGTTTTTGATTTCGATGGACGGTGTTGCCATGGTTACTAAAAATAGAAATTTCTGTGAAATTCCTTTAAAACGCTACTCCTCCTACAGTTTTGGTCCGATTTCAATATAACTCGGCACACAAGTAGACTACACTAAGAAACATAATTTAGTGCATCGGTTTTTGATTTCGATGGACGGTGTTGCCATGGTTACTAAAAATAGAAATTTCTGTGAAATTCCTTTAAAACGCTACTCCTCCTACAGTTTTGGTCCGATTTCAATATAACTTGGCACACAAGTAGACTACACTAAGAAACATAATTTATTGCATCGGTTTTTTTATTCAATTGACGGTGTTGCCATGGTTACTAAAAATAAAAATTTCTGTGAAATTCCTTTAAAACACTACTCCTGCTACAGTTTTAGTCTGCTTCTAATATAATTAGGCATACAAGAAGACTATACTAAGATACATAATTTATTGCATTGGTTTTTGAATTCAATGAACAGTGTTGCCATGGTTACTTAAAATAGAAATTTCTTTGAAATTCCTTTAAAACGTTACTCCTCCTACAATTTTGGTCTGATTTCAATCTAATTTGGCACACAGTTAGAATACACTACGATACATAATATGTATTTCTGTTTTTTTTTATTTGGGTGAATGGTGTTGTCATGGTTACTAAAAATAGAAATTTTAGTGAAATACTTTCAAAACGCTACTACTCCTAGTTTTCATTTGATTTCAATATAACTTGTCACAAAAGTAGACTACATTAAGATACATAATTCTATTTATTGTTGCATGTTGCAATGTTTCAAATCCAAGTGCTACTTTTCTTTTGTTATACAAACAGACCAGTAGAGCTACAGTCTCATCAGAGACTTCTGGTTTACCTTTACTCAGCACTCAGGGCCATTGAGCAGTGAAGGATCTTTATCATGCCAACGCCTGCCGTGACACGGGGCCTCGGTTTTTAAAGTCTCATCCGAAGGACTCGCTTTCACTTCAAAGTGCCGAGCGCATGGCGAAGGAACGGTTGCTACCCATTTTTTATCGAGTTAGGTTAGTCGCGGCCGAGGTTCGAGCTCACAACCTCCCGATCACGGAGCGAGCGCTCTACCGACTGAGCTACCGTGAACGGTCTTTTGAGAAGTAAAGGGATTTAAAAATTGGTAACTTATTGGTGCATCGATGAATTACTCATATTTCTTTTGGATCAACTCTTGATGACGCGACAGAAATAAATTTTAATTAGAGATTCAGAGAAATCCGACATAAGTAACCCTTATAATTCCCATTGCTTTCACTAGATTTTTAACGTCTATTGGATATTTGATTCCCGCAGACGCAGGAGAAAAATGGGGTTTTCATTTACAACTTTGTTAGCATTGGTTGTTTGTCTTTCAGGAATCACTGTCAATTTACCAGTGAATTTGCAATTTATTCCACATTTAGAACCATATTTGTTGACTGTTTTAGGGTTTGAGGTACTTGGTGTGATGTTGACCGCTCTTCAACTTCGCTTACGTCATGAGAACAAGATGATCAGAAGTAACACTTGTCTGGATAAAGGTCGCTGATCTTGAACGGCTACTACGCTTTCAGTAAACAAAAGGTGCCCTTCGTTGTAAATCATCTAAGAAAGACAGAGTTGAGGCTTTCAATGAGGAGACTTTTGATGATCATAAAGCTGATGAAGAAAAAGACATTACCGATGAGGTGTACGTCTGGAATGATGTTTCTTGTGCTATTGATTTGTTGATGTTCTTGATAACTTTGTCATTGCATACTATGTGTCCTTATCGTTTTCGGAGTTTTTATTAAGCGTTATTATAATATCGATATTTAAAAAAGTAAGTAATAGTACAATAATGATCAACTTAAATCATTCATTTTCCTTTAAAAAGCTGTTGCGGACTCTACGATGTTGCGGACTCAACAAAACAATATATATCTGCCAGAAGACCAAGCAGCAATGAGTTAGAGTCTTTTTTTGGTAGATAGATTAGTAGCTGCATTGTCTCTTACCTGTAAAATAAAAGAATATAATTCTTATGCATTCCAAAATAAGCACATGTTGCGGACACTACAGAACTTGGGGACATTTTTATGCCACGTATAAGAAAATACGTCATTTTGTCAAGTTTCAAATTATCCACTCAAGCTTTTCTATAATGTTTTCTTTATTATTCAACTATATTTTCAAAACAAAATTAGGATAAAAATAATGGAGTAACATGTATTCTTTTTATTTGTGAGTTCAAGTGGTGAAATGTTATTATTCAACTATATTTTCAAAACAAAATTAGGATAAAAATAATGGAGTAAGATGTCTTCTTTTTATTTGTGAGTTCAAGTGGTGAAATTTTATTTAAAAACTTAACAAGCCTGCATTTTTACATATTTTCAACCCTATTTTGTTGATTTACAATACATTACATTGCATATAAAAGAGGGATGGATTCACATTGGCTTTGCATCCATTATCAGAAGCTTCTTCTATGAATTTCCTGGAACAAAAGCTGGAAAATTATGACAATATTTAGCTGCAACAGCATAACATAAAGTACCCCACTTTTTCAGTGATATATCTTAAATATTTTTGTTGTATAGAACATGGAGTGTTATATATCATTTCACTTGTTAGGAGTACTATTTGGTCATAAGTTGGTCATAATTGTTAAGTGTTTAACCAGAAATCTTGAAGAATGTATTACAACACTAGTGAGTATGAAAAATCATAAATACTGTGAAAATGGCGTCTAGTTTTCAACCAAGGTCATTTTGGCAAGTTCAAGGTCACATTGACAAATTTCCAAATAACTGCAGAGGAGGTAACTCACAGAACTCCAAGGTTATCCTTACATTTATGATGTCGCTTAGATGTTTTGTATAGAAATGGTCGTCAATTTCCGGTACTATAAACATTTAAAAAAAAAAAAAAATTTTCTCATCAACCTTTAAAAAAAATTAAAAGTGGACAAAATATTTTAGCAGTGGACTTGTTTTCTATCTCACCTAGTTTGGTTTTGAGTCAGCTCTCGTGCGAACGAAATTTCAAGTGGAAGTCGGTGCACACGAGCTCAGATAGACCATATAAGACAAAAGCTGCCCGAGATAATTTTTGGCTCCAGAAATTCGACATTTCTCAAATGCACTAAATTGGATGGGTGATGTGGTTAATTGTTTAATGAAACAGTCTAGTTTGTTGCATATACCAGGGCATTAATGACAGATGGAAATGTGGGATATTTGCATAACGGGTGATAATATGTTTGTTTGTCCTTTAAAGAATTTTTCACTTGTATTGACAGGTCTCTACTTGCCAGTGAAGGGTTGCAAATTTAGACTAATATTCGGCACTTGCGGCCTTCGAGCAGTAAGGGCTTTTTTGTGCCAGTACCTACTGCGACATAGGACTTCGGTTTATACGACCAGTCTTCACCTTCTCGGAGTGTATTCAAACCCGCAAAGTAAGGATGGACTCCTTACTCCGCGACTCTAAAGGAAACACTCTAACCACTGCGACAACGGGTGAAATAAGAATGCATTCTAACACAGAACTCTCCGTGTTAATTAGCATAGCCACCACCCACATTCTGTTTTAAAAACTGCACACTATTTATCTGCTTAAGTGATATCTTAAAGATGTAATCTTATCGAAAGCAAGTAAAGGGAAGCGTTATCAGAGTAGCTGCTTGTGACCATCTGTAATCTTTGCACTGTCAATATTACACAAGTAATCTCAACATCGTACAATTGTTCATTAACATCTAAAAATGGGCGGCTACATTCGAAAATGGACGTTTGTCTTTTGCATCTTTAGTTACGGTGCATATTCCACTTTCGGTATCAATTGCGATGTTTCAAACTTTGCAGTACAGTCAAACTTTGACCCATCCAAGGTAAGCATTTCTCGTTTTTTCTGAATGCTATAAATCGATTATCAAGATTTCGGTGAGCTGATAAATACTTCATAATTTCTGTAAATTTTTTGCTTGGTTAAGAAAGGACTAAAAAGCTAATGTTGGATTTGTCTGTTCCAGTTCCGTTCTGGAAATATATCGTATGGATATCTAGCAGGAAAACTGTTTGCATATAATTAGTAGCAGCTAACGAATTGGTAAAAAGTCTGTCACCCTGGTCCAAGTCCAATGGTTAGGCTTATTTATTCATATGATATAAATACTGCATGCATATGTTGGTACAATTTTGACTGATAAATAACGTAGAGTCCAGTTTACATATACATTGTATTTAAATCTTCTTTCAAGATGGGCTCAAACGTGTGTTGCCAGTCGAGAGGGGATATTACTCCTCTCAGGAACTTGATCCCACCTCTTGCGTTTTTAAGGGGGTCTTTGTTTTTGCTCTTGTATCATTTTAAAGATTTGTTAGGTTGATCACAGTTCTTTATCTCCACCCTTTCCATCATGCCTGATTTATTCCCTGAGTAGTTATATTGTATGTCTGTGGCCAGTATGCCTGGAGTTTCTTACCACATGTGAAATTTCATGTCCCAGAGTCAGTGTTCAGGATGGCTAAGTTGATATATTTTGCGTTTACAAATTAATGTTACTTTTAAGCATCGTGAAGACAACCTTGAATTTGAACATTAGTCCTCTTCATATTGTGGACTTTATTTCAGGTTCCAGAAGCTTTGATACCCATGGAGTGTCAAGACCCACGGACACATTGTCGTTAAAATCACGATTCCTGTCTTGTTTCAAAGTAATAATAATTAATGATCTATTCAATGAATCATTTGTGTACGCATCATTTATATAGGGAAAATTCAAGTAAACTCCAAAATTATTCATCTTTAAATTCCAAATTCATGGGTAAGAGAGGGTGTCGTTGGCATTACCTCTGTGCCACGACGTACAAACATAAAAGCCTAGAAATATATATAATCATCGTTAGATCGTCTAAATTCTCAAAGGATTCTTTTTTTTTTCAATACGTATTTAAAGTAGGTTTTTGATTGTTGATTCACAAGACACGAACTAGAAAAGATGACCAGGGTGGAGTGGTCTACACTGATAACATGTTATAGTCAATACTTTAGAATGCAATTCTGCACTGTGACATTACACATATGAAACAGAAAATATAGGGACTATCTTTCTAATGCATAAATAAGACTTTTTAAACTAGAATGCTTGTACGGAAAACCTTGCGGCAGCACAATAGCTAAAATTACGAGCTTTTGCATGTCCAGTTACCAAATTACGGTTTTACCCATGGAAATATTCTTTCAGAATGCGCATTTCAAGAATATCAATCGTAAAAATTTCAGTATGTTGGTGTTTGGTACGAGATAAAGTGGTTTTCAAAAACACCTTTGCCAAAGAACAAGGAATGGCAAGATGTGACTCACACATATTCCATTGTGAAAGGCAACAATATAAGTGTTGTAACAACATACAGGTAAGAACTTTACCCTAATAGTAAATTTAATATATCTTATCGAAAAGACAGAAAAGCAGTATCAACTACACAAGAAGCAGCAGTAGGAACGGCATCTTAAGACAAGGTACAGTCCAAGAAAGTTCGATTCAAAATTGAGAAATCTAACCTACACCGGTGCAGTAGACAAAGTAGGTGGGACTAGTTCGATTCCCAAGTCATTACTTTATGTTAATACAAGTTTTCTCTAAAGTTCATTCTAATGATACAGTCAAAACTGTATTTAGTGACCTATCAATGCATTTCAATCCTAAATGATCACAAGTAGTCACCATATTCAACAAAAATAGGACCTTCTCCCCTTTTTGACCGTTCACGATAGCTCAGTCGGTAGTGCGCTCGCTCCGTGATCGGGAGGTCGTGAGTTCGAATCTTGGTCGCGACTGATCTAAGTCAGTCTTGATTATATAGTGAAAATGCATTAATTCATTGAAAAGCTTCTCTGCTCCTGGGTATTAAATAAACTAACTAAATGCATAGTTATATTGAGTATGGTTGCCTCTTCCAAATTTGTGAATTTCATGGCCCCTGGGTCAGGAGTTCTGGTGTTAGGCGGGCCTCTATTGATTATATAGTGAAAATGCATTAATTCTTTGAAAATCTTCTTCTCTACTCCTGGGTATTAAATAAACTAACTAAATGCATAGTTATATTGAGTATGGTTGCCTCTTCCAAATTTGTGAATTTCATGGCCCCACGGTCAGGGGTTCTAGTGTTAGGGTGGGGCTCTATTGATTATATAGTGAAAATACTTTAATTCATTGAAAATCTTCCTGCTGCTGGGTATTAAATAAACTAAGTAAGTACATGGTTATGATGAGCATGGTTGCCTCTTCCAAATTTGTGAATTTCATGGCCCCTGGATCAGGGGGTCAGGAGTTAGGGCGGGGCTCTATTGATTATATATAGTAGAAATGCATTAATTCTTTGAAAATCTTCTTCTCTGCTCCTGGGTATTGAATAAACTAACTTAGTGCATAGTTATAATGAGCATGGTTGCCCTTACCAAATTTTTGAATTTCATGGCCCCTTGGTCAGGGGTTCTGGTGTTGGGGTGGGGCTCTATTGATATATATATATATATATATATATATATATATATATATATATATATATATATATATATATATATATATATATAGTAAAAATGCATTAATTCTTTGAAAATCTCCTGGATATTAAATAAACTAAGAACATAGTTTTGATGAGCATGGCTGCGCATGCCTCCACAGAAATTATGAATTTCGTGGCTCCTTGGTCAGGGGTTCTGGTGTTAGGGTGAGGCTCTATTGATTATATAGGGAAAATGCATAAATTCTTTCAAAATCTTCTTCTCTTCTTCTCTGCTCCTGGGTATTTTTCAAACAAAGGAAGTGCATGGTTAGGATAAGGAAGAATGCCTTTTCCAAAATTGTGAAATTCAAGGGGTTCGGGGGGGGGGGGGGCTCTATTGATTATATAGTGAAAATGCATAATTTCTTTCAAAATATTTTTTCTACTACTGGTTATAAAGTAAAAGTTATGCTGAGAAAGGGTGCTTCTTCCAGAATTGTGAGTTCATGGCTAATGAGTTAGATGTTCTGGTTTAAAGATGTGGCTTCATTTATTTAATAATATAGTGAAAATGCATTTCTTTGTAAATCTTCTCTGCTTCTGGGAATGTTCGAGGCAAACAGAGTCAAAGTTTTAATAAACAAGGGTATTTTTACCAGAATTTTGAACACTTGGACCATTTAGTCAAGTGTTCTGGTCCTGGCCAGGGCTCTATTAACTTGTATTCTGCTGAGCAAAGTTATTCCCTTTTGTCATTCACCTTTGATAATTAATCAATGAAAATAATTATTTGAAAGGTCAATAGAATAAGAGAATTATGCAAGAATATTTATTGTATAATACAAAGTACTTTCATAGATTTAATGACTTGGAAATAATAGATGAATAAAAATGAGACAAAAATAACTTATCTTTTAAATGTTCTTCAAAGGCCAAGAGAGGCCAATGTGAGAAGTAATAATATGGGGTTAAAAAAAAGACATTTTGGGAATAGTCTGCATGGTAATAGTGATAAATGGGGGACAGATAGATACTAGACCAATTATTTTGTTGATGCTAATCATACTATTTTTCTTGCTTTTGGGCAACAAAGCTTCATTTATCAGTTTATGGATCCTCTAAATTGTTGTATTGTACTCAGGTGACCGTTAAGGTCCTTGGGCCTCTTTTTTCTTCAGATCTTTCTACTGTATTCTATTTTAATTCTTTTGATTTCCCCTGCTTCATCTTTAAATCAAAAGATTTTCAGTGAGCCCTACCTTCATCGAAAACCAGGGAACGATCTTTTTCATGCTAAGGTGGTAGTAATCCTTGACAAAGGACATCATTAAACGTCCCATTCAACGGACGTAAATTAAATATGTAACCTGTTAAAATGTATGTCTATAAATATTAGGGAACAGCAGTATTTCAATCTTGTCTATCTAAATCTTGCTATAAAAATCCGAATCATTTAAATTGTACTGGCACTAATGTATGTAAACAGTGTAAATTATTTAACATAATGCCTATAGACCATAACGCTTACCCGAGTAACTTTGGCCTCGCTGTTCTTGCTCAGATTTTTAAAAAGATTATTATATTCCCAGGGAGAAGTGTGACCCCATATTATGTTTTAAATGTCTCTGAATCCACACAACATGTGAGTCGCCCGCGTGGCGCAGTGGTTAGAGCGTCTGCTCTAGAGTCGCGGAGTAAGGAGTTGATTCTTACGTCGCGGGTTCGAATCCCACTGTGGGACGTGGAGACCGGTCCTTCGGATGAGACCGAATAAACCGAGGTCCCGTGTCGCAGTAGGTGCTGGCACGAAAAAGATCCCTCACTGCTTAATGGCCGTAAGTGAAATGAGAAAAAGTGCATATATTGTATAAAATAATCCAAATTAAGACAATATATTATGAAATTGGAAAAATTAGTTGGCTTTTCTTGTTTCTGTGACGTCACGAACTATTTGGATTTCCGTTATTTTTAAAATAGAGGCCAAAATGCACAGAGTATGTTCAATTTTGACTATAGTATTTATAGAGCGCAAGCCTGCTCAGGTACCATATTCACATATTTCATTGATATTATCATTCTACACATTATATCAAAAGATCTAGTCTGAGCAGACCTGCGCTCGGTAATTTCCAATCAAAATACCGACGTAAAATACGCTATTTTCTCTCAAAATCATTGCAATTTGGAATTTACGTCATTTTATTGACGTCATATCTAACTAATGATGTCATAGTTGATAAAAATACTTAATGCTTTGAAGTCTGCAAATATCCACCTGGTTTAGAACATAATTAAAGACTTCTCCATCAAAGTTTTATTTTGGGGGCAGATACTGGCCACTACACAATATAGTCCTTTGCAGCTCTCCACCGGCAAGTGGTGGCGTCTCCATATGAGTGAAAAATTCTCGAGAGGGACGTTAAACAACATACATACAAACAAACAAACACAACATGTGAACGCTTCAATTAAGCTAACATGGTCTTGCAGTTATGGGGAAGAAAATTCTCTTTTATATACCTGCATTATGTTAAATTTGATCCGGATTTAAGCCAACTGTAACCATGAATTCGTAACTTGAAAAAAAAATCCATATGATTTATTTATAGTGTGCGAATTAATCGTTTTATTGAGGTTCTTCAGATTTAAAAAAAAAAAAAAACGTTTCGTCACATGTAAGGCTGATCCTTTATTGTAGCCCTCTGCCCCCGCCCCCCTTGGGGGGCACAATTTGAACAATTATTAATCTGAACTACCCCCAGGAAGCTTTCACATGACTGGTCCAGTGGTTCTTCAAAAGCTTTTTAAATGTTTTCTCTTATTTCAGTGTAAAACTTTGATAGCCTATTGCGGCCCCACCTTACCCCTGGGGGCCATGACTGCCTAAACTAAAAGGGAGACACTTTGAGAAAAATCGTCATATCTATTTAATTTAGCTGTCCCAAAGACAGCATCTATTCTTCGAGGGCCGCCAAAAATACCTCAGGAAATTTCACTCAGCATCAAGTAATAACAAAGACTGCAAAAATATAACTAACAACTAATTTTCTACATTTACAACTAGATTTAAATATGTATTTACCATTAAATTCGTAATCCATTCGACGGAGAGTCAAATATCGGTCCCTGTCGTGGATGTCAACCCCCTTCTCGCCTTATAATGAGTCGGTGGTGATCAAACAAAAGTAGGCCTTAAGACCAGCACAGAGACTCACAAATTTATAAAACTGAAATATTGAATTCGAAATAAAGCGAAATCGGCGAAAATCCCTAGCGTATCAGTCGAACTTTTTATTTTACTTTAGAAGATATTTGTGATTTAACTTGCCTTTTACCAAAAGGACTAATAAATATTTCTTCACTTGTAACAAGAGATCCTCAGAGGTTGGGAACCTGTTCCACGTTCCAGTCAACATTGATTCCTACTGGTAGACCTGGAAAGCTACTATTTGATGAACAAAAGACAGGTTTGCTCCCTATATAATGATTACGATTACCCCCTCCACCCAAACCTCATATACAGTGTATGTATTTACGTGTAGATATTGTTAATACGATTTTCATTTAATTTTGAATTTTAAGTTGAAAACTTTGTAAAATATTGAAATTCTTTACAATTGCAGACGAGATTGTGAACTACTGGGTGATGAATACCGATTATGTGAATTATGCCTTAATCTATGGATTTAAGGATGAAAACACGAATGGAACTGCAAAGGCAGCCAAGTCATGGGTTTGGAGCAGAAAACCAACTTTAGCGAAATCCTTTTTACAAAATATCAACACTCAGCTGCAAAACCTGTGCTTGAACGAGACTATGGGTCATATTACTGTGCAAAACAAAGGTAATTTTCATGTATACTTTCTTTATCTTATTGTTTGTGTTACCAGCAGAGCCTATCGGGAAATCGCATTCCCCTCTTCAATATCTAGCATGCAAACGCTGTGCTAGATTAAAAAAAAAACCGGTAGCTCCAATGGTGATATCGTTGGAGCAGGGTTTAGGTCCCAGGTAAAAAGCTCTATGAATAAAAACACTTTTGAAATTCTTCTTCATTTAACATGGATACTGTGATATCATTATTTGTCATGGAGGTTTAAATTTTGCAGTTTTCGTGATATGAAGAAATCCTCGAACTCATATCCCATCGAACCCAATATTTTTTCCTCAAACCATGAAAATTTGGCGAACCCTATGATTTAAAGGTATTAATTTGAATGTCTTGGTAGTTCATTTTTAATCTTTTTTTTCTGAAAAACATGTGTTTGTGAAATATTGATGTCCATACGCCGTAGGTCAAGGCTATGGGTCAGAAATGTTGGTATCCAAATAAAGGTCATATCACAAGATATAAACATGTACAATGTGAAAGCCCTGGTATCAACCATTCAAAAGTTACGACTAAGGTTAAAGTTTTGGAAAAGTTAGTCAAACTCAAAGATCAAAAGATAAAAAATGTTAGTACTCAAAGAAAGGTCTTGCCTTAAGAAATATGCATGCGAAATATGAAAGTCTTAGATCGAACTGTTCAAAAGTTATAGCCAAGGAGAATTTTTTCTCCAGAAGAATGCCAGTCGCTAAGGTCAAGGGGTAAAAATGTTGGTACCCGAAGAACGGTCTCGTCATGAGGATTACACAAAAGAAATATGAAACCCCTAGCATCAACCGTCTAGAAATTATGATTTTTCAAAAGGTTAAATTCCTACGTCAAGAGGTAATAAAAATGTGACTCAAAGTAAGGTCTTATCACTGGGATACATTTGTGAAGTATGAAGACCAAGGTTAAAGTTTTACAAAAATAGGTCGAACTCCGAGGTCAAGAGGAAAGGACTTATCACAAGTAATACACATGTGAAATAAGAAAGCTCTAAAACAATCCATTCAAACGTTATAGCCAAGATTACAGTTTTTGAGGACAAACAGACAGACGGACAGATAAAAACTATACGCCCCCCAAATCTTCAATTACCGAGACATTAAAACTAAAATAAATGAATTTACATATAGTTTACCGGCGTAGAGAGTTCAAAAGACCAAGAAATTAGAGTATATTTTCCAAAGCCTCTGAAATCTGACTTCCTATATGTTATCCAAGGTTGTACATTAAATAAATTTAATTTGAATAACAATTTCTGCTTGTAGGTTGTCTTAATTCTGCTGCACCATTACTGAAAGTACCTGCAAAATTCATCGGGTGTTGTCTAATTTTCCTCTACCTCTTCAGATTTACACGATCATAATTTCTGTAGTGAAAATGAATTTGTAAGACCAAAAATGCTAGACAAAATGATTTTCAAAATAAACATATCAATAAAGTTTAATATGTTCTTTAACTTTTAAAATGAAAAAGTCTCTTGATCTTTTATGATACCTATCAGTTATACCTTGTTTAAAAATAGGTAAACGTACATTGGTGTGTGTTTGTGTGCGAAGGAGGGGGTTAAAAAGGGAACAACCTTGTTTTCCCACCTAAAAGCTTTATAAGCTGAAGTTATGACTCTGCTATACACACATGTAATAACTCTTATATCAGATGATAACACATTTTCATTTGTTACAGAGAAAGGCGGTATCATGTTACAAAACGTTTTGAATAAATTAAAACGAATGAACCTGTTCTTGTAAAAACACACCATTATACAAACCATGTATGTTTGAGTGATATAAACTTGCATCAAAATTTATCAAAATCAACCAAAAATTGTAAATGAATTTGCAAAATTAAATACAAGTAGTTATAATAAAACAAAATGTGCTGCATTTAAGGAATCACTGTCTAGTTAGTAGAGTGTGCCAGGGCATCAACGATAGTTGGAAACGTGGGATAATTTGCATAACGGGCGAACTAGACTAACTAGACAGTGATTCCTTATATTTCCATTTCATTGTGAAATAAAATTGTAAATTTAGATTTTAAAAATGTAGACTAATAGATTTAAATTACACGAGGCCTCACATGTCAATTTCAATAGTCCCCGAGAAATACATGCATATTAGGCCTCCTTAGCGTCAGATTCAAAGACAGCCGCACGAGAACAAGAATTCTGTGAGTCAATGCTCACTAGTAATACCCCCGCATTGATGTGAATATACACTCTGATGTGAATGTACACAAGTTCAGTTACAGACAGACACAAGGATGAACAGGAAGTTGACATCGGATTCAAACAAAAATAAATCCCACGATATGGCATGCCTAAACAAACAGTGTGCTAAAATTTCATACATCTGCAATGAGTAATTGCTGAGAAAAGTACGACAAAAATGTGTTATGTATGGTACGGACAGACACACGTATAAACAGGAATGTGACATCGGATCCATTAAAAATGGCATGCTTAAATAACGAGTGTGCTAAAATTTCAAGCCTCTTCAATGAGTAGTTGCTGAGAAACAAGCAACAAAACAAGAAGTCTGTGAGCCAATGCTCACTAGTAATACCCCCGCTTTGATGTGAATGTACACAAGTTCAGTTATGGACAGACACAAGGATGAACAAGAAGTTGACATCAGATTCGTACAAAAATGAATCCCACCATATGGCAAGCCTAAACAAAGAGTGTGCTAAAATTTCAATCATCTCCGATGAGTAGTTGCTGAGAAAACTGCGACCAAAATTTGTTATGTATGGTACGAACAGACGAACGGATAAACAGGAAGTTGACATCGGATTCGTACAAAAATGAATCCCATTATATGGCATGCTTCAACAAAGAGTGTGCTAAAGTTTCAAGCATCTGCGATGAGTAGTTGCTGAGAAAACTGAGATCAAAATTTGTTACGGACAGACACACAAGGGTAAAGCAGTATTCCCCCCTCTCCTTCGGAGCGGGGGTATAATTATTACTTCTGGTTCGTTGCCACGATGCTCTCAGTGGCGAATACATGCATGCTCATTTTACTGGTTCATTACTAAAAGTTTTTGGATATGAATATATTCACAACTCACAGAGAAAATGCCATTCTTCAAATTAATTCTCACCATTAAAGTACATACTCTCTACAGTGTATGAAAGGGAAATTGTCACATACCACCACTGTAAAAGTCTGTGTAGTGTTAAATCCACTGCTACAAAATCTAAACCAGTGGTACAGTCCACAAAAAGTTCGCCTCCTCCTCCTCCAACATCCATGTTCTGAACACTCCAACTGAAATAGTGCAGTATCTCAAGCAGGTGGCACCCTATTTAGAAGGACAACTTGCACTAATAAAATCACAACTTGTCAATGCAGGTGTCAGCAATACTAAATCTAGAAAATGGGATTTTGATATTATGCAATTAGCATTATCCGTTTGGACAAGAAGTCCCAGGGCCTATAAGCAACTCTGTTTTAGCGAAAAACTTATTCTACCTAGTGTAAATACATTATCAAAATATAAAAACTGTTTACTAAACTTCTGGAGTCAATAATGACATGCTTCAATGGATGTTCATGCAGGCTAAGAATGATAATAATCCTCAAAAGGGCTATTACGGAGGTCTTATTCAGGCCCCAAGACCATGAACTGAGAATATTAGACTTAAATCAAAAATTGGAGTTTTGATATCTTGAGTTTTATTTCATGTATTTGCTTAAAATTTTGCAATTTTATATAACATTTAAATTCAAATATATGATAAAAATTTTGTTTCATTATCAAAATTATTTCAAAAGTTATATTGTTTTGAAATTTTGACTTAAGTCTGTTCATGGTCTTGGGGCCTGGATGAAATAGCAATTCAGGAAGATATTCAAATAGCCCGTCATGGTGGATCCTGCAAATTAATAGGAATGACTGACTTAGGAGTTGAGGGTAACATAATGTAATCTTCCAAATACCTGTTGGCAAACCATGTCATTCAATTCATATTCCACGGCCTGACAGGTTTCCACTTTCTTGTTGCTCACTATCCCCACTACTCAAGCCAATGCACCACAAATCTATGCAATGTTGTTGGATGTAGTGCAAGCTGTTGAACAAAGGGGGGGGGGGGGGGCTCCATGTTATTTACACTTCCCTGGGTGGTGCATCTAACAACAGATTTTTCATCAATATGCTTTTTCCATCACCTTGATCTGATATGGCTGGCTTCAATCCTTGCTATGGTACCCATCCAGTAGTATTCATTGCAGATCCATCACACTTGTCTAAGAAAAATTCATCGATGCCTATGACTGGGATAAAAAGCATGGTCTCTCCATCCATCAAAAATTTACATCTCAACATCTACGTCCAAACCAAGCAGACAAAATGAGAAATCATCTTGCCGAGGACATTATTGAAAACATCTTTTCTCAGCAAAGAGGACTTCATCATGGTGCCGGTAGCTGCAGAACGTTTGCAGAGGGAGGAGGAGAGGGCAGCAACACGTGGGGAGCCTCGACCTGCCACAAAGAGGAAGTGAAGGGGGCTACAGAAAAGGATAGTTCTTCTCAAAAAACAGTATAACCGTGGGCAGAGAACTCTTGACGAATTAGTTACTGCATTAAGCATTATCGATAAACACATGATAAACACACACCACATCAAAGAAGCTCTGTTTATGCTTAGAGGGAACTGTTAGGATATGTCGTGGAAATTTTAGGGTCCAGTGAGTACTAGGGATAAAACTGAAAACTCATATACATGAATTGGCCAAAACTTTTTATTACATGGCTGAATTATTCCGAGCTCTTTAACTGACCGAGATCAAACTTTGTTAAAAAATAATAATAATAATAACTAGAAACTCATTGCGAGCAATGAGAGGTCTTCCGTCCGATTCTGTAAATAAAAACAAAAATTCACGCTGAAAAAGTGATAAAAGAAATTCAGCGTGAAAATCCAAGAAAGCTAACCATTAACCATTCACTTTTTTGCATCACTTCCTGTCACGACCGGAAGTAACGGCGATACAAGATTTTCTCACGATTCAAATAAACTGATGACTGACTATCAGACCTGAAAGTTTTAGACTTCAGTCGTTTACTGTTGCCGAGCAATATTGTGAGAACAAATTCTAATTTTGAGGACAGGTAAACACTCGACCGGAAGTAAATTTTATAAAAATCTCTGCAAACTTTTTCAATCAAAAAGATGAAAACATACATAAAACTCCTAGTACACTCTCTATTAACCCTGTAAATCCCAGAGAAAAATATTGAAAAACAAAAAGTTGCAAATTTAACATTTTTGAATTCACTTCCGTTTGCGACCGGAAAAATAATGGTCGATCACCATATCTACATTTGATGCTCTATTACCTCAGAAAGTTTCATATTCATATCTTTAGCCATTCTCTGATGATACTGTTTACTTTCTTTTATTCTTTATGTATTCAACTTTTTATTTCATGGAATTCCATATACAGGCATGTCCATGTAATCTTTTTCTGCACTTCTATATACTTCTGCATCAGACCATTTGTCTACTACGAAAGGTTGGACACGATACATTATTTCGCGCGAAACGTCACGGGTAAATATTCGCGCATTTCCTTTGGAATGTATTTTCTATTGAATGGTGATAGCTTCAATGAAATTTCAAAATGTATGTTCTTATAACCTGAATATTGAGCTTGAGAAAGTATATTTATCATATTGTACTTATTATACATCGTATGGATAAGTAACACTAAAGCAGTGATTTAGGTAAGATTTTCTACAAGTTTTATTTTCCTGATTACCCCCGAAGTGGACTATCCCGATTAGTTACACATTCATGAAAAGACTGGAATGTTTCGCCCAAAATCATGTCTCGTCCTGCGACGGTCAAGGAATCTGATACCATTTATGTTCAATAACAACATCTTTTAGAATAAAAATATTTATATCAACTTCATTAAACAATCTTTAAAAAAATGGTTTTCTTATTTTTGTCTTTTCTGTTCATTTAATATGACACAAGCCTGCATGGGGAAAAAACAATTGCCACGTAATAATTACTATATATTGATTGCTTTAGTCAGGCAAGTTTCTTGAAAAGCTATTACTTATAACCATGGTTTAGGATCAGTTTTTCCGTGGTGTAAAACAAAAGGTTGTAGTTATCGTATTTCCACTTGTAGTCATGTCGTTTTTCTACTTTGAGATACAGACAAGAACAATTATAGTAGACGTTTGAGGAAACCCCGGATTAAAACTCTAGTTCGAAACAGAATTGTAACGTAATTGTGACAATCCAACAATTCCTTCACATTTCTTTGATCCTTATGGTACTTCCATTCAAACAAACGCTCGGCTGACTCCGTAAATTCCGACCTACTTATCGGAGTTTACGGAGACAGCCGCCATTTTGGACCCGCTTCAAATTTAGAAATGCAAATATCTAGAGTTTGGATTGATCAATTCTAATATAAATTATATATTAAGCATTTTCAGAAGAGTCTCTATTAACCTTATTAAAATAAAAGAAAAATATAGAAAACAAAAAAGTTTAAAAATTCGACTTTTTTAAATTCGCATCCGGTAACGACCGGAAGTACAGACGACGCACAAAAAGGTGATTCCCCTCATCTAGAAGACATAACCTATCATCTCTAACAAGTCTCCAGTTCATATCTTAAGCCATTTTTGAAAAAAAGGGGGGACAAAATTTCATTTTAAAATCAGAAAACTGTCAATAACTTGGCACCGGAAGCGAGTTTTCCAAATTTTCCTTCTGATGAACAAAGTCCATTTGACGACGCATAATTCCTAAAAGTTTCATCCAAAACCACTGAATAGTTTTCGAGAAATCGCCTGCACAAAATTTTGGGGAAAAAAATAAGAATAATAATAATAAGAAGAAGAAACAGTAGAATCACTATAAGGTCTTCCGTGAAGACGGAAGACCTTAATAAGAAACAGTAGAATCACTATAAGGTCTTCTGTGAAGACGGAAGACCTTAATAATAATAATAAGAAACAGTAGAATCACTACAAGGTCTTCTGTGAAGACGGAAGACCTTAATAAGAAACAGTAGAATCACTATAAGGTCTTCCGTGAAGACGAAAGACCTTAATAATAATTAGAAACAGTAGAATCACTATAAGGTCTTCCGTGAAGACGGAAGACCTTAATAATACGTTATGATTTTCCGGGCAATATTAGGATTTTTTGTCTCTTTTGGACTAAAAGTAAATTGTAAAAATAAATATAACTGCTGTTTATTTTAACCTAGCCTCTCTCGTTGCGTTTAACTTAGTAAATGTAAATGATGGTGGAGCATCCCGTCGCAAAAAGCATATATAAAAATTAAGGCAGCATTGTCTGATTTATAATCAGACCGTGACGATTTAGGCGATATCTCGTAATTTCCTTAAAATAATGTCTGACAGGAATAAACTTTAACTCTATTATAATTTTCGGTGATGGTCAACATGTCGGACTATCGGACCGTCGGAATGCTAGGCTTGAACCGTGTGAGAATATCAGAAGTGCGTCATTGAAAACTCGAGATTTTCCTTCCCATCACGAAGAGTGTTTAAAAAAACTCCCTGGCCTGATATAAGAGAGTAAATGAACCACACTGACAGAGACTAAAACTGCCAAATTTTCTCCAAATATGTTGTTAAAAAAACATGTTTAAAACGTTTTTAATCTTGCAATCACTTAGCTATGATGAAGTCTCAACCGCGCTCAACTATGACGTCACAGCGTGTTACGAAAAGACAGAGTCAAAGGGAAAATCAGAGAAAATGTAATAAACAGAAAATTCAATGTTCTGTAGATGAATATGGAATTTATATCACTCGTGAAACAGGGTTTTTGGATATTTTCACTCGTGCTTCGCAGTAGTGAAAATATAAAAAAAATTCTGTCCCAATCGTGAAATAAATTCCAAGTAAAATTACACTAGGTCTAATGCGTTATTCAGTTGGTCTTTGTGACGGCATAAAACCACAAAATCAAGAACGATAAGCAGGTAACAAATTTATCATGTGCACAAGTTTACGCTTTCTTTCTCAGCGAAGCAAAGGCAATTTTTTGTACTGAATAAAATTTGAAATTCTTTCATATCAATCTTTATGTTTAAAAAGTAAAATCCTAGTGTTAAGAATCGTTTTGTATGACCTTTAACGTCTTTTTCTAATAAAATACCCGTATATGGAACAGTTGTGTTAAGACTCTGTGGTATCTTTTACTTCAAGCTCACTGGGATTTATCGTGTCGACATATGAATGGAAATAACTATTGTTAAATGATAATACGTCGTTGATGTTTCTCAATGTCGAGTTGAAGGCCACAGCAAGAGATTAATTAATAAAAAGGTACATGTACAGGCAGAACTTGCAAACAATAACAAAAAAAATGGAGAGAGTAAACTTCAACAGGTGAATATGAACAACCAGAATAGAACGTCATAAATGCAATAAATAAATAAATGAAAACAGCAGAAATGTAAATAAAAGGATGGTACATTTAGGACAGCAAAGATCTGGAAAGGAACAGAACGTAACATCTTGTCTGAATGCACCCCCCCCCTAAAAAAACACTTAAAACCTGCCATTAATCAATACCACTATAACCAAAACTACACTCAGAGAAAGCCTTTGACGAGAAAGTCCCAGCACTAAAACAAAGAGACGACTTTATAATTCTTACCAGTCTATATAAACTAAATAGGATACAGCTTTGGGAAAAAAAATATTTCAAGGTGAGATTTTACTATTCCTGCAACAAATTTTTCTTTCCCGGTAATATATTCAAGAGATATATAACCCCTACCCCAAATGTTTTGTCTGTTTGTTTATTGTTTAATGTCCCTCTGGAGAATTTTTCACTCATATGGAGACGCAACCACTTGCCGGTGGAGAGCTGCAAATTTTGACCTATGCTCGGCACTTAGGGCCATTGAGCAGTGAGGGATCTCTTTCGTGCCAGCCCCTACTGCGACAACGGTCTCATCCAAAAGGACCGGTCTCCACGTCCCACAGTGGGATTGGAACCCGCGACTCTAGAACGAACGCTCTACCCACTGCGCCACGCGGGCGACCCTACCCCAAATGCCAAAATATAATAAAAGTTATGGCAAAGAAAGCCTTATCTCTTCTGAAGCAAAAGTTATGACCGAAGTTAAAAATTTTGATAAGTAGGTCAAATTCTAGGTCTTTCTGAAATGTGGTGTATAAGTAATGTACATCTTAATGCCCCATTTTTTTCTCATTCAAAAGTTATGATCATTGTAAAATTAATATGAAAAAGACTGTAGGTTAAACTTCAAGGTAAAGATCACGAGATCAAAAACAAGAGTACATTCGGAAAGGTCTTGCACATATTAAATGTAAATTCCCTATCTTCTCTCAATCAAAATTTATCACCAACGTTAATTTTTATTTGAAAATCAAGTCAAACGTTAAAGTCTTAGGGTAAAAATCTAGTTCATTTTAAAATGTCTGTCACAGGTAATGCACGTGTCAAATATGAATGCCCTATCTTCGCTCCTTTATAAGTTACAGCAATGATAAATATTTCAGCATTAGATCAGATGTCAAGGACACCGGGTCGAAACTTTTTGACACAGGTATGCGCTGGTCAAATATGAACACCCTATCTCTCATTCAAAAGTTATCACCAGTGTTATTTTCTCTTTGAGAATTAGGCCAAACTTGAAAGTCAAGGTCAAGGGGTCATAAACCATAGCATGTTTGGAAACGTCTTTTCACAGGTAATGCACATGTCAAATATGAAAGCCGTATCTTATTCAAAATACCCATGTTAAAATTTTGAAAAAGAGTTCAGACTTCAAGGTCACAGGGTCAAAAATCATAGTATATTTGGAAAGGTCTTGTCACAGGTAATGCACATGTGAAATATGAAAACCCTACGTGTATATTTTGTTATGAAAAAGGTTAAAGTTTTTGAAGAGTAGGCCACGGGATCAACAACCATAGTATGTTTGGAAAGGTCACATGTAATGTATAAGTAAAATATGAAAGCCCTTTATTTTCTCATTCAAAAGTTATAACCAATTAAGGTTCAAGTTTTTTGTGACAGGCAGACTGACAGATGAATGAGATTCAATGTCCCCTCGCTTTTGCGTTTTATATTTGAAGTAGCCTGTTTTTATGCAGAAGTTTTGGCCAAGGTTTGAGTTTTTTTTTATTAAGTTAAGCTTCAAGGTCAAAGTCATTAGGTTAAAATCATATTGCATTCGGAAAGGTCTTCTCCGTGAAAACATGAAAGTCCCGACTCTTCTGGAGCAAAGGATACCGGTAAATTTTATAAAATCAAGTCAAGGTCATGAGGTCAAAATCGTGTATAATTGAAAAGTCCTGCCATAGGTAACATACTTGTAAAATATGAAAGTCCTGTCTCTTCGGGTGCAAAAACTACAGCCAAGGGAAGTTTTGAAAAGGCCAAACTTGATGGTCAAGGTCTTAAATCATAGTTCGTCTGGAAATATCTTATCAAGGTTTATACATGTACATGTATATAAAATGTGAAAATTTTGTCTCTTTAAGTTTATAAGTTGCGGCCAGGGTTAAAGTTTAGAAAAATAAAGACAAACTATAAGGTCAAGATTGTCAGATATTTATAGTACATTCGGGAAAGTCTAGTCACATACAACATACATGGGAAATCCCTACCTTTTCTCATTCAAGACCAATGTTAAACAGAGAGACCAAAAAAAAAAGAGATTTAATGTCTCCACGAGCCTAAATAAGTATATGGCAACATTTCAATTCCAGCTTTTTCAAATTTCAAGAATTTTTTAAATGGTTTCATTACCATTTCACAGTCCTGGTCAAATACAAGTTTTGTATTTGATTTTTATTTTGTACAATAGGTGACCCTGTTCCTGTCTTGCTGTATTATTTTTATGTTAGAAAAATTAGCAAAGACCATTAAAAAGTACAGAATATTAGCCATGTTCAATTTCAAGTGATTTCCGTAATTTCTTCGTCATAAATCTAACACTGAATTTTTATAAAATATCATCACCAGAACTCTGGAGAGAGCGCTGTATTCCATAAGCATGATATTAAAATGTGGCCGAGGAAAATAAGAGTCTTAAAAAAGCCAAAGTAAGATATTTATTTCAAATATAACATAAACAAGTGGTCTTTTTCTGATTGACTACTCTCTATTTGTCATCATCTTGACGAATTCTGTAAAGAAGAGAGAAAATATAAATACATGTATGTTTTTTTAAGTGTAAACACTTAACTTTACAATAGTATTGATTTGATAAAAGACCAAAATACATGATTCTCCAAACCTGTGTCTTTAAATTTATTACATCAGCTCTTCAAGATCAAAAGGATAGATTTAAGATAATAGGTCATAAAAAAGCAACCAATTGTATCACTGTCTTATAAAGTTTTCTATCAACTTTAAATGGTTAGTTTACAATTAATGAAGCCTGCGCCTTTTTATTGCTGATTGAAATTTTCTTATTTTGATTTTGTTTTATAGTGAGTTGACCCTTCACCGGCATACGTTGACGTCTCTATACGAGTAAAAAATTCTCGAATGGGACGTTAAACATACAATCAATCAATCAATAGTGAGTTGATTGTTTTATCACACAAATGGGCTGAATTTATACTGACAACAGAATTGCATCGTCCGAGAACAAGATAATTAAATATGCACGACGAAAACGGATAACAACAAATGTCTTAAATGGCATAATAATGAGACTTCTTGGGGGAAATGGCTACTTAGCGTAGCAGCACAATGTATGGCCTCGTGAATAAAAAGTCTACGGTTGATCCTGGAATTTTCAGCAAAATCAAAACGAAATAAAAATGTGGTATTCTCCATGTAGGGAAAAAACACACCTTCTTAGGGTAAAAGAAAAATACTCCGACTTCCGCGAACTAAAAATTCTGTGATGAAATGAATGACGACTAATTTTTATCAAGGGGAAAACACACCTTCTTTGGGTAAAAAAAATACTCCGATTTCCGTGAACTGAAAATTCTGTGACCAATGACGACTAATTTTTATCAAGTGACCTAATCACCCAGTTGTTGTATCGGATAAACAATAAATATGGCAATTACATGATAATCTTGTCATTTCCAAATGGTAAATTTTATTTTGTGGAGGTTAATGTTTGCTTTTATCTCTATAAGAATTTTTACTCATATTGGGACGCCAAGTGCATTTCAAGGGCTGGAAATTTAGACCTGTTCTCAAAATTATGGTTATTGAACAGTGAAGGTTCTTTTGCGCCATCATCTTCGCTGTTTATGCGGTCGTCCGAAGGATCAGTCTCCAAGTCCCGCATTCGGATAAGAAAATGCCACGTAAGGATCAACTATTATTTGCGACTCTGAAACGAAACGCCCCATTCGGGCAACTAGAGCGATATACCTTGATAATTGACTTGGCCGTCGCCATCTTCATCTGCTTCTTTCATCATGTTCTCCACCTCCTCCTCACTCATTTTTTCCCCAAGATTCAACATCACCATTCTTAGTTCTGTTGTACTGATGTGACCATCGCCATCCCGGTCAAACACTCTGAAAGCTTCTAACAAATCGTCTTCAGTCTCTTCATCCTTTTCTCTCTTTGACATCAGTAATAAAAATTCAGGAAAGTCAATGTCGCCATTGCCTGCAACAGTAAATAAGAAATTTCTATTTCATGTTTATCTGCTTTTCAGCGTTTTATTAAGTAATGCCAAAATATGAAAATGTTCTTTTTATTGATTTATTTTTTGTTTTGGCCCAGAATTACACATTCAAAACACGTCTAGAGTTCTCTAATAATGAGAATTGAGTTTTAAAAGGCGTAGTATTGGGAGAGGGGCGGGGGACTTTTTTTCCAAACATAACCTTTTACTGTTGAAAATGTTCATTGAAATGCTGGTTGCTCTCTCTCTCTCCCCCCCCCCCCACTTTTTTTGTTGCAGTATGGTCAATTAAGGGTATTGTGGTAATGTATGAATAGAATTTAGTTGTGAAAGAAGATAGACCCACACACTCGAAGTAGGTTTTCGAGTTTTGACATTTTTTTGCTAATCAAAGTTGTTTAGGTAAGTTGTCGATTTTTTTATTGATGCTTCCCCTCCCTTTCAAAAACGATACAACGTGTTTGTGACAGCCTATCGTTCTATTTTGGGGGATTTGGACCCGGAAATAAAATTTATTAAATTTGTAGGACATAAAATCGTTAATATTTAAGATTTTTCTTTGGCCTGACAATGTGGTGGGGGGTTGAGATAAATAACTATCAACCTAATAATCTGTATAAGGATCTTACCATCGGCATCCACTTCCGTGACGATTTCGTGAATTTCGGCGTCCGTGGGGTTTTGTCCCAAGTTTTTTAGTATTGTTATTAACTCCCCTGTCGTGATAGAGCCATTTCCGTCTTTGTCAAACAGTTTGAATGCCTCTCTGTATTCTGGGATTAAAATACATATAAATATATATATTTACATTTCACACATGTTTTGCTTATAAAATTTGTGGATAGCTAGTGCATTCAAAACACTATAACATGGACAGGGGTCGAAAGGTTAAAGTATGCCTTTTATTTTGACGTTCAACGCCGTGCAAGTGCAACGTCATAAGCGAAAATCAAAATTCAAGTTCACATTAAACAGAAGCTGTAAATGTGGGTCTTAAAAACCGAGCTCCATGTCACGGTAGGCGTTGGCACGATAAAGAACCCTCTCTGCTCAATAGCAGGTATAAAAGGTATAAATTTGAACCCCTTCACCGGTATATGGTAACGTCTCGAACAACACAATTCAATATATATATATATATATATATATATATATATATATATATATATATATATATATATACATGTATATATATATATATATATATATATATATATATATATATATATATATATATATATATGAGAACATGACGAGCGAAAAGCCTATAGTGTGACAAACATGAAGGTGAAAAATTAAATCTCAATTAAAACAAAATTTTCCTTGATATTACATCTTACATTAAAATATACTTTTGTAAAATCTCTACAATTTGCAAAAATCTCACAAAGATTGAAATTATTCGCTTATGAAATATTGTACACACACAAAAGAGGGCAAAAAGAGTCATTTTCTCATACTATAACACTATTTTTCGATATGAGTGGGTCTTCGCTCCATTTTTTTGAAAGTTAATCCTAGAAGTTTGCATAAAAATTTAAATTTTTTGGTTTCCTAAAATATGGAGCAAAGACCCACTATATCTTAAAAATATACTTTTATGACATATCATTCGCATCTTTTCGAGAAATACTTGTAGTCCATTAAGTCAAGGGTCACATCACAAACATGATTTAAATGCCACTATTCATCAGATCTTGCCTAGTCTAGTGGTTAGCGTGCTAGTCTCAAGAAAATGATGCTCAGGATTTTTATTGCTAGGGTTCGAACCCCCACGACTATCACATTATTTTTTTTTTAATAAAAGAATAAATTTTCCGAGAAAATTTTTCTCAGAAAAGTTTTGTTTATCATAATTTCAATAATGAGAACTTTACTCTAAATACTGAATTCACAAATTGAACATGATTTTTATATATTTGAAGCTATAGGCTTTCTGCACGCTATGTTCGCCCATCTCCTTATTTTATAAGCCTACTATAAACACATGTACATTTAATTAGTTAATTTTTTATAACAGAGTAAACAACGTGTACCGTACTAATACTTACCTTCAATTTTATCTTCTGTTAAATTTTCTATCTGAAAAGGAGTCAGAAAAAAACGATGATACCGAGAAGGTATAGTTCTCAGTGACCGGTTTCCCGCGCGCTATTTAGCTGCAGCCCGGCCAACAAAAGCCCCCTATCCCGATTATTTTCCCATAAAAGTTTAGGGATAAAATAAACAAAACAGTAACATCCCTCCCCCACTCAAAACACTTTTTTAAAAAACTTCCCTGACGGAATTAATTGTATTTCCTAATCATATAATACAGTACCTTAGATATCTTGTCCATGTTTCTATCGACGACTTCTGGGCTGAACTGTATACATTTAACCAGCATACCTTCCGCCTGTGATACCACAAACAATTATCCATAAAACCAGACAGATAAATCATCGTTGAATTTCCATAGATAATCCTGTTCAAATTTATTCGTATTTGTTATGTGTTTATTTCTGATTTCAACAATGTTTGGTGTACTTGGGTAACAAAATGTACTTGGGTAGTAAAATGTCTTTCTGTTCGGCAAAGTATATGTCGAACAAATCGTAAATTGGGGGTATTGATATATTTGATCTTTTATTGGCGAGCATCTTCACTCAATTAAATGGTTTGTTACCTTTTCGTCCTCGAGTGACCTTGCAAAATTTTACTTTTTGACTGCACGCATTCTCTTCTTTCTTGAAGTGCCGAAGATCTACTTCGATATAACAGTTTGTGCCCTGGGATCGCAGATTTGTTCTTCTCCTGTCTAAAATTCGATCATTCCCTGTTTCTGTTTTTTTTGTTTTAACTTTTGAACCTCAGATGTTAGAGACTTTGTATTTAGTAGAATTTAGGTACATGTATATATGAAAGCATTAATATTGTCATCAAATTTTAAGTCATCCGCTCTTTTTTAAACATAAATATTATAAAAATGAATCAATTAAAATTAATCGAGATTTGTATTTTGGAAGGACATTCTATAAATAATGTTCACATTGTTTGAAAAGTTCAACGTATGGTTAAGATCATAACATATTACAAATGGTGAAAATTAACGTTCATTATTCAGTTGCTTATATATTTAATAAAATTCATTACATCTTTGGTAATCTAATTTTTTTCCCTACAGGACATCTCAATATGATAACAATGAGTGCATACCCCTTTGCCAAAATTGTAAAATCCATATTCCCTGTGTCCAAAATTTACCCGTCCGCATTCAGGCTTTGAAACAATTCTTTACTCATGGATTGATTTTATATTGTTTAACGTCGAGTTACAGTAACGTTACGCACGGTGTTGGTACTGTAATATCAGAATCTTATATGTCATAAAGAAACTGTCGTTTTCTTCATACGTTATTAGCTGGAAATTTGTAATGAAATTAAATATATTATCTACTGTAATAAAGAATTTTAAAAATTCCCTTTCTTACTGCCTAGAATAAGGCTCTATTGATTATTGAACATTACGACAAAAACCCTATGTCCAACGTTACGCAGATTATTGTTCGCACAACAACAAAAGATGAAAAGATGCACTTTTTGTCATATATTTCTAATAAAATTTTGGGAAAAGAATATTGTGCATGTGTTCTTTGTGACGCTATTAAAATTATGACGTCATTTTACAAATTTCAAGAGATTCGGCTGAATTCGTTGTGAGTTGGTAAAATGTCCAACAGAAATTAATCGTTCCTTAACATTACTAAAAATGATGAAGTGTACCGGATAGAAATGACCAACAAAGGTAAATTTTAATATTTAATCTTAAAGAACAAATACTTCTCAAAGTAATAATATTGATACATATAGTATTACTACCCCAACATTAATATTAGGGAGGCTTTTTTAAGTGTAGCCATTTTGTTATGCATGTACGAGTTACTGTACTGTTACTTTATACGGCTCATATAAGTATCTAATTATATGATTTAATGGCATAATTATGAGTAATAATTACATTTATTTTGAAGAACATCTAATATTCTAAGAAATTATTACATAAAATATACCTTATTCGCCTACGTAGGAAAAAAATAGCATTAATGAAAATGTAGCCATTTTGTCACATGTTAAAAAAAACCCGTCATAATGTATAATACAAAATGTATGACGTTTGGAGCATTAAATTACTGTCGCCGTGCTCCTTTTCTAATTAACTGCAGATCCTTGGTAGCAAGAAAGGAGGGCCCTCGACCCCCCCCCCCTCCCCCATTTTTTAAAGAGTAGTCTTTTGTTGTAAATGTAAAAAGAAAATTTAATCCCCCCCCCCCCCCCGCCATTCTTGTATTTGTATTTGTTTCAAAGTGCTCGAAATCTCTACGCTCTTGGAATATTTTTTGCCCTAAAATTTTTTTTATTTCAATAATATTTCATTGTGTCAAATGAATAAAAGGACTTGGCAGCAGGCACTGCCTCTGTAAGACCATGCCATTAAAATGCCCCCCCCCCCTCCTCGCCAAATAGGACTTTCAAGTTAAGGCATGTAATTTATGTCAAAATGTTAAATAGTTTTTTACATGATAATTTTTTACAATTTAATTATAATTTTGATATTTTTTTTGTTTATCACCCCCATCCAACCACCCACATACATACTTTGAAAAACGGCTCTTGGAGGAAGCCTAAACTTTTTTTTCATGTTACATAGTATTCAAGACTGGAGCCGAAAAGGCAAAATACTACCGGGAACTGAAAAATATAAAGGCGAAAGAGATTCAGATAAAAAAGTACAATGAAAGAAAACATATTTATAATGCAAAAAAAAAGAGAGAAAAACGATTAAAAGAGAAAGCTAATTCAACTGTTACAAAAGAGGCTGCAAGACAAAGAGACTACAGAGAAAGGAAAAAGAGAGAGAAAGAGGAACTTGAAAGAAAAAGGATTGAAAGAAATAAAAAGAAAAGAGAATACAGAGACCGTTTAAAAAATAGACAGGGTGATCGTGATGAGGAGTTACAACTTATTTTTAATTCGAGAACTCAAAAACACAGGGCACTTAAAAAATTGAAGCAAAATTTACCCTGCACGCCAAAAAAGAGAGCAGCTTTAATATCTACCTATATATCCTCCCAGAACAGTCCCACTGCAAACTTCTACAGAAATTTAACAAAACACCGTCACCTGATGATGTAAAGAAAATCAAAATGGCTGATGCCCTTCTCTCTGATATGAAAACTGTTATTAACGAAAACAAACTTAAAAGGTCCGATGATGCAAGAGCGGCAATTAATGTTTTAAGTGCAGCGGTCAGTGGCGAAAATGTACAAAAAACAAAATGCAGGACGGAGCTGTCTAAAAAGCTTGGATTCAATGTGAGACAAATGAACACAGGTATGTTTTTCCTCTCTCTCTCTCTCTCTTTCTCTCTCTCTCACTGTTTAAAAATACATGATTACATGTATTGCTCTATTGATCTGAAATTAAAATATGCACCGGGATTAGGCCAAATAAAAAAATATGTGTGGTTCCGGTTACCCGACCTTCCCTATTTTATACCCCCGACCCTAAACTTTTTTTTGGCAATTTTCATATTTTTTCCGGAATTTCCCCAGATTTCCATCAATGGCTCCAGTTTAAGTTTTAGTTTCAGCAATGACGGCCTCCTTGAAAAACAGTGCAAGTGTTTAATAGTGTTAAATCCAAAGCAAGCTAGCATGTAGGTGTCACCTACCAATATTGACTAGTATATCATCACACCACATCTAAATGCCATTTGCAAAGCAGTGATAGGTATTATTTAGAAAAAAATAAGAAAATCAATTTGTTAAAAAAAAAAATTTAAAAAAAAAATCCCTACCTACCTACCCTAATTTTTTTGGAAGTGTAACCGGAACCACACATATTTTTTTGTTTGGCCTTAGAAAAAAAAACAACTGCAAACGATAGCATGGTCCTGCTGCCTACCTGCAAGTCAATTTTCAAAAGTTGACGCATTTGAATGATTTTTCATATTGATGTGAATCATCATATGAAATAATTTATTTGGGAAAACAAAGAGAGATAACTATTATTTTGGTAAAACTTGTGTTTTTCACTATAGAAATCAACGGAAACGGAAAATATTTTTACCCCCCCCCCCCCGGTGAAACAAAAATTCCTTTATACAGGTATTATCAATTGTTATTTCTTAAATTCATACAAAATCTTTTGTTGTTCAATGGGGGGGGGGGTATGTTTACAGACCTAAAAAACAAAACAAAACAAAACAAAACAAAAAAAAAAACAGAAAAAGAGGTCATTAATTTATTAATTTCAAATGAGATTACAAATTAAAAATGTACTTTATTAATGATATATGTTGAATTTTACATTAATTTAACATACGAAAAAATTTAAGGGTCATTTATTCATATTGATAAGTATTTGAAAATCTGGAGATGTTACAATCCCTGATTTCAATTTAAAAAAATCTAACACCCCCCCTCCCCCCCCTGGAAAGACTTGTTAATAAGAACAGATTACTTTTTTACACTTTTTTTTTTTATATAAACCCGTCACTAATGAACTCTTCTTTGCATTCAGATAAGTTTTAATGACAAAATTACCATTTATGTTGAATTAATTGGGTTTACAATGTAGGAATCGAGCGTTAGCGTTCGTAGTTCTTAGGGGTAAAGGTTTTTTTTTTTTTTTTTATTATTTTAGATTTTCCTTTGTGCAGGAAAACGAATACGTCACAGGGTTCTTAGTACAGAAACTTCGGCGTAGACATACACTGCCAGAAAAACTAGAAGTGATGGTTTATCGGAGGAAACTAAAAAGCTAGCTTATGATTTTTGGATTTCTGATGAAAATTCGAGACCAACTGCAAATAAAAACGACATCAAGAGAGTACGCATTGGACCCAAGATTTATACACGCCACATGAAACACATTCTTGAAAAAACGCAATCTGAAGTCTTCCTAAGTTTTCAACTGATCAATATCCTGTTTTTGAAAATCTGACTGAACTGATAAACAGTACACTTTGTCAAAAACCAGAGGGCGAATTATTCCACAATTTAGCTTGCGTGGAAGGGCGTTGTGAAAACTGTGGAGTCAAAAAATTCATATTATCAGAACAGGAACAAGATACAGAAAACTCCAACGATGTTAAGTGGATGAGATATGAATATGTTGAATCAAAAATAAGAAACAAAATGACCAGAAAACTCTGTCTTGTTCAGAAGAGCACAAAAAACCCGGCGAAATGTTTGGGTATTTTCTTCAAATAATCTCCAAATTTGCAAGTCACGTGTTTCGCTCTAAGTGGCAATCCTGTCAATTGAATTTTCTGAAAGAAAATCTCGAAAACAAACATGTAATTTGCATTCATGATTTTTCTG